TTACTTTTGTTTACTCTTGTAAAGAAAAGCAACTAGTAATTAATAATTTCGTTTTTTTTAGCGGTACGATACGAAAAAAAAATTTATTTTAGCATAAATTATGTTAAAAACATGTTTATAAAATAATAATAATAATTAACTAAAGAAAATCGTAATTTTTTTGTACCAATATCAGGGAAAAAAAAAAGAAAAAAAAATTAATGGCGTTTTTTATATAAATTACCTTATTTAAAATTCTAAATCTCGAATATTTTTTATGTATAAAAATCATTTTAAATATTAAATAACAATTATTATTATTATTATTATTATTATTATTATTATTATTATTATTATTGTTGTTGTTGTTGTTGTTGTTGTTGTTTAATTTCTTATAAATTCCGTCGCAGTTTTTAAAAAAAATAAAAATTTATTAAAATGTTTTTTAATGGTTACAAACGCACACACACACATCATCGAATGACTTATGATTTTTTTTTTTTTAACGTGTATTTAGAATCGAATGTGATATAATAAGTCAAGTCGTGGAAAAGGTTAAAAAAGAAAAAATCGATAATTGAAAGCGAAATGAAAAAAAAAAAAAATTTTTTTTTTTGTTATAACGATGAGATATGATATTCGCCACGTCAACAATCACTTTTTTTTTTTTAGAAAAAGGTTGAAAAATGCGAAATATATATGAAAAATACACGAACGAAAGAAAATAATAAAAATAATAATAATAAAGAGGAGAAAAAGAAAAAAAAGAATAAGAAAAGAGAGAAAAAAAAAGAAAGCAATGGAAAATATAAAAAAAAAAAAATTTTTCCTTCTTCTTATATCTTTACCGTTTTCAATTCTTTTATTCAACGTGTGCATTATAACGAAAACAAGCAAACAAACAAACAAATGATTCTACTTCGTTCTGGAAAAAAAAATAAATAAATAAATTGAAAAATTTTTTTTTGTTCCAGAATTATTTTAATAAATAAAAACTCTGGAATTTTATTTTTTTGGCCACTTCAATTTTTCCCCTTTTCTTCTGCTTCCTCTTAACCGAAAATTTCTTTAGATTTTTTTATATCGATTCCATGACGAATCATCATCATTATTATTATTATTATTATTATCACTCTTAAACACGACAAGGCTCTTATTTGTCGGGGTTTTTAAGCATTTATCCCAGGTCTCTACCCGATTCCTTAGGGACAAATACTCGAATATCGGTGGTGCTATTTATAATATTTTCCGAAGAATGTGGGCCGTCCCACATAGTGCGATTTCCTGGATGGTTTCTTCTTTTAGGTTCTTTATAATCTTCTTTAAATTTCCTTTTATTGAATGTGGCATGGCTCCCAATGCTCCCACGATGACCGGAATCGTTTCGGTTTTTGTTCCCCACATCCTGGTTATTTCAATTTCCAAATTTCTGTATTTCAGCCTTTTGTCTGCTTCTTTGACTGTGGTGTTTTTTTCTGCCGGCACGGATACCTCAATTAACTTACACCATTTTTCCCCATTATGCCTGAGTATGATATCCGGTTTGTTAGCTGGCACAGTTCTATCAGTGTGGATTTGTTGATCATATAGAACTGTGCATGGACCTACTGTCGTAACCGGGCTTGGAATGTGGTTGTACCACTCCTTGGGTAATCCATCCATTCCATATTCTCGGCATATACTCCAATGGAGATATTGACATATTTTATTGTGCCTTTCTAAATATTCATGTTTTGCCAGTATCGGACAACCGGAAGTTAAATGATCGATGGTTTCCGATTGAGATTGGCAAATTCGGCACTTGTCATCTTGGCGGACTTTGAGAATTACTTTCTCATAGTTATGGGTCCGCAATGCCTGATCTTGAGCCGCTGTAATAAAGGCTTCTGTTTCAATTTTAAGTTTTCCACGCCGTAGCCAATTGTGCGTGCTCTTCTTATTAATATCTTCGGCATTTATTCTTTTTAGGTATTGCCCATGTAATTTTTTCTGTTCCCATTTGCCTATTAATTTCTTCTGAGATTGGGCTTTGCTATTATAAGTTGCAAGTTGCCCTTCTTCCATTATCTCATTTTCTTTATTTTCTTGGACGTTATTATTATTATTATTATTATTATTATTATTATTATTATTATAAAATTTATTCATTTTATAAAGTGAGGACGATATTAAATTATTTTTAAAAAATAACTTTCGATAAAAACAAAAAAAAAAAAAAAAGAAAATTTACAAATACGAGAAACCTTTTAAAAAAAAATAGGAAAAGCTTTTTCCACAAAATGGAAAAACAATAATAATAATAATAATAAAATTTTATTAAACGAATTTATAATTTTTTTTAAAAACAAAAAGAAAATTTAGGATAAAAAAAGAGAAAATTTTCTAAAATTACGAATGGTCTGGAAATTTTCTTTTTTTTTTTTTTCTCCCCATAACGATTTTTGGTCTTGTCGTTAAACTCATTAATCATATGCAATTTCAACCTCTTACAACTAACCTAAAACTTTACAGAGAGAGAGAGAGAGAGAAAAATGTTCAATTTCACATGGGGTAAAAACAAAAAAAAAAAAAACTAAGACAAGCATGAATAAAATTTTTCCAAAGGAAAAAAATGGCGAGATGGGAGGGGGGCGGGTTTAAAATTTAATCCGAAATACAATTTATTGAAATATTTTTGTTTTCCTCCTCCTTTACTTCCTTCTACTTCTTCTTCTAGGAAAAAAAAAAAAGAAATCTTTTTCCTCTTCTTCTTTTTCCTCTTTTTCTTATTCCTATTATTATTATTATTATTATTATTATTATTTAAATTAGTTTTCTTTTTTTAAATCAAAAAGTATAAATAAATGTTTAAATGAAAATAATTTTCTGATTTTTTGTTTTTTTTTGTAAGGCTACAAATTTTTTATTTTCCGTTTGTTTGTTTACCGTCATCGTTCTCAACATAATCATCATCATTATTATTATTATTATTATTAAAAATTTTCTATTTTCCGCATTCGTGTTTACGTCATCGCATTTAAAGTATATATATTTTTTACCTCGAGGCATTTAATTTATTTTTTTTTCTTATTTTGTTATATATATATAACGTAACGTTTTTCTTTTACACGTAAGTTTTTTTTTTTTTTTGTTCGGTTCGAAGGAAAAAAAAAAAAAAGAAAAATAAATTGAAAATTTATTCCGACTTTTCCCACCCCCTCTCCCTATCCCTTTCCGCTTTCCATGTAAAAATTTAAACTGAAACCTTTTATCAATAAATAAGATTTTTTTTTTTTTTTTATTTGCCAAGAAAACCTTTTTTCTAGAATTTTTTATTAAAAAAAAAAAAAAAAAGAAAATTTCGGTTATTAAATTTTTGTTTTTCTTTTACTTACTTCCTTTTTTCTTTGTTTTTAAGAAACATTTTTTTGATGGAAAATAAAATGATAATAATAATGATAATGATGATGATGAGGGAAAAAATTCATCGCATCCATTAAATATTTTTTAATTTTTAACCGGAAAATTTTTTTTTTTTCACTCTCTCTTTCCCAAAATATAAATAAAATATCTTTTATTCATACGTGACGTAAATAATAATAATAATAGTGGTAGAGGGAGGGAGGAAGGAAGGAAGGAAAATCGCGTGTGACGAAAAATTTTTTTTTCCCTCTTTTCCCTCCTCCCACCTCCGCCCCATTTGAGATATTAAGCGATTACATTATTCGATATATGAAAAAAAAAAGAAAAATTGTTGATTGTTTCCTTTTTTTTGCAAAACGTTTGTTTGTTTGTTTAAGTTCAAAAAGATTTACCATAGATTTATGTAAACAACAACAACAAAAACAAATAATAATAAAAAAAATTTCTTTGTAACCTTTGCGGGTTTTTTTTTATTAAAAAAAAAAAAAAAAAAAAAAAAAAAAAAAAAAAGTTCTCACGGGAAAAAAAAAAAATTTTTCATTTTACTTAATTCGTTTATTTTTTTTTTTTTTTTTTTTTACAATCAGATTCTTGTTAGCAAAAAAACTTTTTTTTTTCTCCCCCCGTTTGTTTGTTGTTTGTTGGGTTTTTTTTATTAACGAACTCTGATTGTTAATTTTCCAAAAAGGGTAAAAGGAAAATCAACCGTGATGATTTAATTTGTTAAATGAAAAAAATTTTTTTATTACAATTTCCGGTTGGGAG